TGGCGTGCTCAAGTCACAGGGGTCGACGGAAGTGGTGGATCGGGGGCGGTCGAGGTCACACCTGTCCCAGTTGTCCCGCAGCGCGTCGATGATGCCTGAGGCGTTAGGAACAGACACGCAGACACAGAAGGAAGGATGACTCGTCCGTTTCCTCCCCTCCCTCTCTGCTGCTCGTGCTTGTGGTGGAGTGGCTCACTTGAAGGAGAGAGACAAAAATGCGACGCGCCGGACGAGCCAGAGGTGGGCAGGTTGCTCGGCAGTCCAGCCGGCGACGGCCCATCGTCCATCGCCTGCAACAGAGATGGGCCCATCAGCGAAGTATGGCACTCTCTCTGTGAGTCCGTACCTCCTCCCGCTTGATCAACGGCATCAGCTGCTGATGTGCCAGGTTGGTGAGACCAGCCCGCGGCAAGACGTCGACGGGCGACTTCACCACAGAGAACTGACCAGGGGGACGCACACCGACAGAGGGACGGCCAATCTCCGTCTGCACGAAACACCACAGTCAAGGCAGTGGTGTGTCTGCACGCACCGCGTACCTTACCTTGATATGGCCGGCCGCCGTGGCAGCAAGGTCGTTTGGTGGCCGTGGCGGGTGGTCCACAGCTGCACACACACACACATGCACAGCACACACGAGGGTGGATAATGCTGCCTGCATGAAGGGCGACATTTGTGTCGTGTGGTACCGTGTGAGCACCTGTTGGCATGTTGCTGCTGCTGGGGTCGGAGGGATGGGGTGTTTGTGGGGCAGATGGAGGGGCAGGGACACTGTTACTGAAGGATGGACGGACAAGCAGGCATTGCAATCATTGCAGCGACTGTACTGTGGATGGATGGTGGTGTGTGCGCTCGCTCACTGGTCGACAGTCACATTGGCGTCTTCAGTCTTGGGATGGAGGCTCCCCTTCCCCTGCAGCACACAGTCCAACAGGGCGTCTGTCATGCAGGTGTGGGGTCGCTTTGTGTTCTAGGATCAGGCAAGGATCAGGACCCACACACCCACCGGCTCGCCGTTGTGACTGTCGTGGCACCGCTCCCTGACCGCGTGGTTGGCGCATCCGCCCGCTGCGGCCTTGATGCCTGGGCACGGCGGTGTCCGAAACGAAAGCAGCTCCCCCTCAGTCAGCACTGAGTGGTTGCTCATCGCAAGCCGAGGACGATGACGTGAGGATGATCTACCCGTGATCTACCCCCTTCAGCCCCCTTGGAATCAAACACAAGACGCAGGACAGACCCGAGGCTGTGAGAGAAGTCCTTACGATTCTAAGCTCGCATGCGAGTTGCGATCCTCGAGCAGACCGCAGATCTCCGAGGTAGACGTCGTGTGAGCAGCTTGGCAGGCTTCCAGACCACGATCTATCTGTGTGTTTGTAGATTATCGACAGGGAAGAAGAGCGTGCGTGCAACGGGTCCAATGGAAGGAGACCAAGCCGTAGCTGCCTCTGCATCTGCGCACAGTGGTGACGGCACCACGGCCGGGGAGGAGCGCACAACAGCGGCGCAGAGACGAGTGAGGAGGTCGAGGCTTAGAGCGAGCACTCGTCGGCCCTCCGTGCCATCTGCCATAAGCCGTGATGCGCCCGAGAGGGTAGGCTGGGGGAAAACAACATTGCAGTGTCAAACGACTCACTTACTCTATTTAATGGTTGCGCCAGGGCGTGAAGCGCGGTGCTGCAAGTGTGAACGGCCTTGAAGACAGCGACTTGACGGTCGAGGAGGGGGAGGAGGAGGCTGCAGCTCGACTTGAAAGTCTGCTTGCGGCCGCCCGTCTTACTACCAACCTTCTCCTACTATCTGCAGACGCCAGCCATCCCATCAACCTCAGGGCCATCTTCACCCGGTTTCCCGCTCAGGAGATATTCGCCGCGAGTGTCTACAGGAGATGTTACAGGCTGAGGGAGACTCTCTGTGTCCAAGTCTGCAGGGGGGTCCGCATGGACACGCTGCAGCAGGCCAGCAGGGAGGGGAGGCTCGACGCCTGCGTCAAGGCCGTCCGTCAGATGGCTTTGCAGATGGCGTCTGAGGCGCATCTGCAGAAGCTGCTGTCGGTCAAGATGTGGGGGTTTCTCGTCACCCTCATCGAGGACATTGCCGACCAGCTCGAGGTGAGCGAGGGAGGGAAAGGCAGGCAACGAGACTTCACACGTGCAGTGCCATGTTGGCGTGTCGATCAGGCTGACTTTCCGTTGTTCATCGATACCATCGATCCAATGTGGCGGGCAGCTGTCGCTGAGCTGCCATCGACCACCACCGCCCCCACCGCCCCAGGTAGTGTTCATCTCCCTGTCTTCCCCCCGGCCATCGACCCCGTCCAGCTGGTGCTGCAGCAATCCATATCAACCTACCACCGATCTGTCGAGGCACGTCTACTGCCTGCTGACGGCCTCATGCGGCTGCTGGAGCTCTTCAGAGTCGACAAGGGGCCGATCGACACAAGGGGCGATTCCAACACGTGGGACGCCGTCCTCGACGAGTCTGTGGCGGCTGACTGTGCACTGGGAGAGGGAGAGGGCCCCATACGTCCTGGGTCCTTCACCGTGAGCGGTGCCTCTGGCTCACTCGCGGCCCTCAACGGCAGCTATGTCATCCGCCCCACAGAGGACGAGCAAGCGACGCTCGTGGCGCCGCCCGATGGTGCACTTGCCTTTGTGGGCGAGAACGTGATCTTCGAGCGATTGCTGTATCCGACCACTGAGCCTGTATTCGACGACGAATCAAGAGTCGTGTGGGTAGCGTACGAGCCAGCGACAGCCCAGCGACCGACCCCTCGGTTGCTTGCCGTCGGTCCTGGCGACGCCGACATGCCAGGGGGTCGTTTGTTGTTCGATCCCCTCCTGTGCAGCCCTGCCTTCGAGACGGATGAGTGGTACTCTGTGGATGAGGGCAAGAATGAGCTGGTGGAAGCTACTCTGGAGATGACGGCCACGCTTCCGCTGGATTGGCTCGTCCCATGGTCGACCCTCGACAAACGGACAGGGCGGCCGTACTCGGTGCTGATCCTCGGGACAGAGCAGCCGGTGGCGTGCAGGTCACTGAATGACTGCACACAGCACCTGGCCAAGCGGGAGGCCGGCAAGGGCGCCGCCGTCCGGGACCTGGCCTTCTATCTCGATGCTGAAGTCATGCAGCACCTGCCCCCCTCGGCACGGCACACGGAGCAGCTTACCACCACCACCACGACGACCACCACCAGCAGCAAGCGATCGCCTCCTCTGCGCGTCAGCGATGGAGAGAAGGAGGCAGTCGACCGGGGGTGCGTTCGTGTGAGCGACGAGTACGTGAGGAAGCCCTTCAGCCAGTGGCCCTTCATGGTGCTGCTGAAGCTCATGGCCACTGGAAGACCGATCAACGGCCGAAGGAGAGGAGGATCCGTGTGCATCGTAGGGGCCGACCTGCGCTCCTTTATGTGCGACGTCTGCGGCCACGAGTCGGCGGAGGGATACGACCTGGCCGGAGACCAACCTCTGCCGTACTGTTGCCCCATCGGTGACGTTATGGGGGCAGCGGACTTCGACTACATCAGAGAGGCAGGGGAGGGCCGCCTCGTCGTATCGGACGGACGGTCACGCATGTGCGGGCCGTGCTACCTCAAAGATAAAGACAGCAGGTCGGTAGGCCCCCCGCTGCACACAAGTGCTGCCACAAGCATCGCTTGGATTTTCTCACTTGGATGGGCTGTGCTCTTCGTAAACCGCTCAGCGTTCAAGAGCTGTTCCCAGGCTTTGGACCAGGCGACTTTGTGCGGTTCAAGCAAGTGGGAAAGAGCAATGTGTTCGAACGTGTCGGCATCGGCAAGACGTAAGCCAGACAGGCCAAAAGAATGGGACAGGGCAAGGCACTGTGAGCGACTGGGCGCACTCGGTCTCCCTCTCCCCCCTTTCTGTCTGCCCAGCGGGTCGAGTAGCAGCACCCCCGCCTCTCCCGGCCTCTTTGGCAGCCTCCCCGATCCTCCTCGCGAGCCCCCGCCGGCCCCCAGCAGCATCTTCCGTGGCATCTTCACACCCAAAGACAAGACGACCAAACCCACTGCCGCCACACCAGCAACACCACCCACGTCCACACCGACACAAGGCCGGCCGCAGCCGCACAGCGGGACCCCATACACACCCAGCAGCAGCAGTAGCAGCAGCAGCAGCGCAGACACCGTCACAGTTGAGTCCATTCGTTCGGCCTTTCCCGACGTCGCCACCGTCAGGTCGGCCACAGAGGGCGACAAACCGCCGTCCAAGGATACTCTATCCACCGTCAAGAAATTCCTCGAGCCGAAGGCGGAAGAGGGGGCGGCGGAGGGCGGCGGCGAGTCGAGTGAGTGCGATGGGGCCCAGGAGCGGGAGACCTACCTGCGAGCCGTCAAGAAGTTCTTCATGGACCACCGAACAGCACTGCAGAGGTGAGCAACGGAGGGAATGGGCATCTCAACCAGTGGCTGATGCGGGTGTCATGTGCTATGTGTGTGTGCAGTGATCCGTCGGCGGTATTTGCGTTGGGTCCGCTGCGGCATGTGCGTGGCGAGTGGCTGCCCCAGTGGCACACAACCTTCGTCAGTGAGCTCAGCAAAGGCCAGCAGCTCATGCAGAAGGAACTCGGGGCCGCCACTAGGGGCCCCACAGACGCCAACAAGTGAGCCGCAGGGCGGGGCAGGGGCAGTTGACCGAATGCCGATGGATTCCCTGTCTGTCTGTCTGCCGGTTTGTTTGTCTGCCGTCTGTTCGCTTCCTCCCATGCAGTGCGTCGGCCTTTACATTTCCTGCAGATGATACAGATGATATGGATCAGCTGAGGGCGGACCTCAGTTCAGGTCAGTCTCAATCAAGCTCAGGAAAAGGGTCAAGGACGGAACAGCCAGCCAGCCAGCCGGCTAACCCCACGACACTTCCGCCATGTGTGTGTGCGCGATGGATGCAGCGCTCCGTGGCAGGCTGCACCAGATGGGGCTTTCTGAGGCGGATATCAACGACGGCCTCGCCAAGATCAGCGAGGAAGTCGCCAAGGGTGACTGCTCACACACACACACACACACACACATATGTACACCACAGCCGGCGGAAGTGCCCCCGCTGTTGTGTGTTTATGCAGCTGAGGCTGACGATCGTGCTGAGGAAGCGGACAAGCCTGCCGCCAAGGGTGGGCCACCAGACAAACCAAACACACCACAGCACAGCACATCTCGTCCAGACACCCACACACGCATCGACACATCCTGCCTTGACGTGTGTGGTGTACAGGGAAGGGTTCAAGGAGAATGCCTGCCGCCAAGTCCAAGTCCAAGGCCGCCAAGAAGACGGGCAAACCACCCGGCAGCTCGGCTGAACAGACCCCCGCGCCCTCGGCAGCGGCGGCTCCCAAGAATATTAAGGATCAGCTGAGGGCTGGGGCTGACATCGTGACGGCCACGGCTGCGGCTATCAAGGATGATAGGCGTCAGATGAAGGCGGACATGATGTCGATCACGGCTGCGCTGCGACGCCACCCGTCGTCGCGTCTGTTCCGCGAGCCGTACACCCACCCCGAGTACACCCACATGTATCCAGAGGACGCGGTTCACTGCATCAGTCACCTGGAGACGATGGTGCCTGACTTCGCCAAGCGGGTATGTGTGTGGAGGTACACACAGACGAATTCGGGCCATCCTGTGGTCTGGCGCTGTCTTGTGTTGTGTCATGCAGTTCGACGGTTGGTTCCGTTGGCTTGGCTACATTGAGGATATGGCGTTGAATGCCCGCAACTTCACCAAGGCCGGCTCGGTAGGTAGCATACCACACACATGTGCCACCAGCACTTGACTGGTTCCATCCATCGACTCCTCTCCTGTCTGCCTGTCCGTCTGTCGCTCTGTCGGTCTGTCTCTTCGTAGGATGTGTTCGTTGCGGCCGGGGAGCTCTATGAAGCGGCGTGTCGCCTTGTGGAGCGCGACGAGTCGTCCACCTCGCCAGCTGTGGGGTCGCGTGACGACATTGACGACCGCAGCGAGCTGACCACGGACGAGCTCTACGAGGCTTGGGACTCTTGCAGGTTGGATCGGTACCTTCCCTGCCTAGAGGCACTCGTGGCGTCGGTCACTGGACCCTTCAAGAGCACCAAGAGAGACGCGACATCGGGAGAAGACGCAACGACGTCGGGGTGAGGGACGGAGGGCGGGAGAGAAGTGCGCACACAAAGGCAGATGGGGTGGGGGATGGGGGGATGGATGCATTCCTGTTGCTGCAGGCTGGATGGTCCCGCGCCCTCGGCGAGCTCGGCTGAGGCGGCCACTGAGACCGAGGTTGTAGAAAGGTATAAAGCCTTCAATGTCACAGAGGAGCACTTGAAACACAAGGTGCGGACACGACAGACCTTACCGCTTCGCACACACAGGGGGGGGAGGGGACACACACACGTACACTACGCACATCTCCACTCCACGTGTGCCGTCTTATCTTGTCAGTCGTTGGAAGAGGCCCGCTGGGACACCTACGACAAGGATCAACAGACAGAGGAGGCCCTGGCCAACATCTCAAGGTTCAGCAGCTTGTGCAGCAACCTTCAGACCAACATCGAACACTTCTCGACCACTTTCGGCGCACGTGAGAAGGAGATGGATCAGCTCAACCAGACCGTCAAGCGACAAGAGAGCGAAATCAAAAGGTGCGGGCCGGGCGTGGGTCGGCGTGCATCCACCAATCACATGCTGCATCTTCGGGGGCGGGGTCGGGTGTATGTGTAGGTTGAGTGAGCAGCTGGAGGCGGCTAATGAGCAGCTGGAGGCGGCTAATGAGAGACATAAGGAGGAGACCAAGGCGGCCGATGCGCAGCGGAGCACACTCGAGGACCTTCTCAAAGACAGAGACAAACAAATCAAAAAGGCGCAAAAGACGTGAGGACACCAGCACACACGGAGACGCCCATCCACTATCCTCTCTGTCCCCCCCTCCCTGTGTGTGTGCAGTGCCGACGACCGTGTGCGTCGAGTGAGCCAGCAGGTGCGGGAGGAGGCCGACAAGGCCGCCAAGACACACATCGACATCATCACCAAGCAGCACAGAGAGGAGCTGGATGCTTTGCGTGGCGAGCACCGGTCGGCCATTTTGGAGCTGAGGGCGCAGCACCGGACGGCCATCGAGCAGCGAGAGAGTGAGGTGCGCGGGGAGGCCGAGAGGGCCATGGCCGACGTGACGCGCGAGAGGGATCAGCTGAGGCAGCGACTGAGGGAAGAACGACTCAGGTGAGGGGAGGGAGAGGACACGCAATCCGCCGACAGGTGCTGTCATATCACTCCGTTGTGTGTTGTGTGTTGATGTGTGTGTGCAGGTCAGCGCGTGTAGATCAGGAGAAGGACGTCGAGCTGCGTCGGCTGCGCGAGGCGGAGGCGCCGCTGAGGCGTGAGAACCTAATGCTCAAGCAGCAGCTGTCGGCACAGCCACCACACAGGTCAGCAACCAACCACACACATACACACCGACAACAGCCGTGATTATGTCCATCTCCATCATCTGTGTGTGGTGTAGCCGTGTCACTGCCGAAGGTGTGTCGTCCCTCGATCTGCCGTCGGTGGGTGAGCAGCACCGGCTCGCCCAGCTGCACCAGGCCGCCATCGAGCGGCAGATAGAACTACGCCCATATGCAAGTGCATCATCATCATCATCCTCGTCGGCAGCAGCAGCAGCAGCTGTGCCCTTCTCACGGCAAATGGATAACCCCAGCAGCAGCTCGGCCGCACAGGCAAACGCCAGGTGTGCCGCGCCGGCCGCTGCAGCCGCTGCTGCTGCTGCTAGTGGTGATGGTGGTGGTGCTGGTCCACAGGCGAGCAACTGTTCCTTGTGTCTGGTCAACCCCACCAATGTGGTCCTGATGCCGTGCGGCCACAAGGTGAGTGAGTCGAAGGGGAGAGAGAGGGCAGCGCATCCATGTGCATCTCTGTGTGTCGTCTTGCTGTGTGTGTCTGTCAGGTTGTGTGTCAGGAGTGTTTCGAGAAGTGGATGGCCCCCATGCCGACAGCAGACAAACTCTGCCCCGAACACACGTAGATGCCTCAGCGAGCAGAGCAGGGCCATTTGCCGCAGACACGCAGCCAGGGCAGGGCTGTCCATTGGGGTGTGTATGTGTGTGTGTGGCTTGCTATGCGTCAGGTGTCGGCAGCCCTACTTCGAGGTCAAGTATGTGTTCGACTGACAGCATCGGCATCGATGAGTGGAGGTGCCGTAGAGTGATGCGACAGGGAGGGAGGGGAAAGGGAGGGGGTCAGAGAGAGTGTGAGAGTGTGGTTAATTTGTGTGCGTGTTGTCAGTCGTCTGTCTGATGCTTGATGCGACGTTCGCTATCCATGGAACGAACCATTTGCTGTGGTTATACGGTGCAGCCGACCGGTCTCTCTTTTTATGCGTAACGCTTGAGCCGTGCCGTGAGACGTGTGTTGTGTGCATCCAGCTACTGTGGTGCATCCACCTACACAAACATGGTCATTAGGGCGGAGGAACATAGGGCGGAGGAACAAGCGTCATCCATCCCATCACGCCCACACCCAGTCAGAAGCCAGAAGGCATCTCTACGCTAATCTAGGCAGGCTGTCCCCCGGCCGCAGTCTCCCCCTCCCCCTCGCCCACGCCCTCCCCCATCATGACGCGGCGGTACATGTCACTGGCAACCTCACGCACTGAATGATCCATCACATCACACAACGAACGACAAACCAACACCAGTCTGTGTGTGTGTGAGAGTGGCAGCTTACTGTGTTCCTCTATGTGTGGCGCCGCTATGAGTTTCCTCAGCAGCACCTTCAAATCCTGACGTAAACGCACACGCCCACACCCCCGCACCCCCACACACACGGTGCATGGTGGCCACAGTTGGGTGGGGGAGTGAGTTCGGTTGGTCGCGCACCTCCCTCACCGCCAGCTGCGATGCCAGTGTCTGCGGCTCGTCGTCGAGCGCCTTGGACGCCCAAGCTAGCATCATCTCTGACCAATCCACAACAGCAACAACACCCCACCCATGCCATTTGTCGTGACATGCACACCGAACAGGCGGAATGCTCACCGGTCCGCCTCATGTTTCTGTTGTCGAGGGGGTCGTGTGTGCCATTCGCCAGGTCGGTCAGCACGTTGATGGCGCGGCGCATCATGCGGCTGTTGGTCGGCAGGTCGCACAAATGAGGAACGGGGCCTGCATTGCAATCAAGGCATACAGCCATCGATGCAGTATGATTATTGGTGAGCGAGACGTCGGCCGACCTGTCCTTCTGAGCAGGTCATCGAGCAGCGCCCAGTCTTCAGGTAGCACAGCTGGACCGACTTAGCCACACGTGACGTAGGCGACAGACAGACAGACAGACAGACAGGATGGACGCTTGCTTGTGGGTGAGTGACGTTTGGGCGTATGTGATTGATGTGCGGTGTCTCTCTCTTTCCTCACCGCTCATCAGAGTGGCGTATGCGTTGCCCCAATCTTCAGCTGACAAGTGCCGACCAAACTCCCTGCACACACACAACGGCCCCGCAGGATAATACCAGCGGAGTGAAATGGGCGCATTGAGGGTGCTGCCAATCTGACTGACATTTGTGTAGCAGGGGACCACCCGGCAGCTGCAGCCTTGGCCGCTTCGCTTGAGAAAACTCCTAATAACCGACCGACCAATCAAGGAGGGAGGCGAGAGCATTCCGATTGCTGCCTCTCTGCCTACCAGTACTATCGGTTTGCTCCCCCTGCGCCACGTCATTTGCCATCGGCACACGCCACGCACTGAATGAACGAACAGACCGACAGACGCACTGCGAGCATGGCAGACAGAAGCTGCATGCTGTCTTGGTTCGCATACCCCAGTCTGCTCGAAAGCCCAGTCCCCTCGTCAGAGGCGATGGCTGGTGCTGGTGCGGGGAGGCTCTGCACCGACGCCCTCATCGCTTCGTCCATCCGCTCCTTCCGGGCGATCTCCACTGCCACCGAATATGCCTGATCAGTGGTGGTGCTGCTCTCCGAGTGCTGTCTGGGCGGACTGCCGCTGCCGAACCGGGGCGATGCGCGAGTGATGCCGATGCCCCCTGCTGGGTGCAGTGGCGATGCCGACGGCATCATGGTGAGGGTGAAGGGGCTCGACGGCATGGCGGCCGAGTTGCGTCGGTCGGTCCAGAGGTCGCCCTGCACCACCAGCCGCGATGCCGACTGGGTCACATCCCATTGCAGCGGCGGGCTGGCCCGCCAGAGCAGCGGGCTGCGAAGGCCCTCTGGAGGACCGACATCCTCTCCCTCTTGCATCTCGTACTCATCGCCTTCTTCATCCGATGGCGCTGCGTCATACGGCGCTTGTGGGGCGGACTGCCGTGAGCGCAGTGCCATTTGTTCGGTGGCGAGTTGGGTGTTGGGTGCTGTGAGGGGCATGACTGCGGTGCGTTGGGGTATGGGTGAGGGTGTGGGCGCGGTGGAGCGGACTGTGCGGGCAGTGAGAGCCACTGGAGAGGGCGATGGGGCGGGGGACGGTTGCCGCTCCGGCTGGGGCACTCTGATTGATGAGCCGGAGAGGAGGCCAACAAACAGGTGGCACTCATTGGGTGTTCTTTCGTCATGTCTGTGTGTGAGTGTGTGTGTGTGTGTGTCGGTGCTTGCCTTGGGTTTTGGTAGAGGTCGTCGATCTTCCGTCGGATATCGTCTATGGTCTTGACGGTGTGTCTGTGCTCGTCCTTCTTGACAAACTCCCGCCACATGGTGGCCTCGTACTTGGCCAATTCCGCCTCGGCCTTGGCCAACTGGACGTCACTCGATGCCGCACGACCCTCCAACTTGCTGATGGACAGACAGGAGGCATGACGGTTCTGGCGAGAGGTCGGGCTTCTGTTTCTCACCTCAGCTGCTGTGTGAGTGCATCGACTTTCTTCCGCAGGTCCATGTTGTCACGACGCAGCTCATCCATCTCCTTGATGACCGCCACAAAGACCAAACCCATGCATGCATCGTGTAGGTGGTGACGTCTGTGTCGTGTGTGTCTCGGCCCACCCCCCCACTCACCTTGCGCATGCCCCGCAGGATGGCCGCGTCCATCGCCACGCTCGCCCTCGGCTTCATCCCCATCTCACCCAAGTCGCCATGCGTCGGCCGACTGGGCGGTAGAGGCAGGCCAGACCGGCCCCTCCTCGCACCTCCCCCAGCCACGACCCCCCGATGCACCACAGGCACCTCGTCCTCAGAGGGCGGCCGCAGCGACTCGCTCATCGACTGGAACGACTCCCTGGCGGTGAAGGGCACCCGCAGCGGCCGGTCGTCGGCCGTGTCGCGATCGAAAGTGTCCTGCCTGGCTGTTGTGAGGGACGAGGGTAAGGGCATGGGGAGGCTGGCCTTGTCTGAGGAGGGCGTGTCGACTGAGGATGGGTCGTCGAGTGAGAGGACGTCGCTGGGGCCGCCGGAGAGCTGGAGAAGGGGCTTGGCCTGCTCCTCGCTGTCGTCAGCGAGTGGAGGGGAGGAGTCGGGGGACTCCTGTGGCTGTTCATGTCTTGCAGGCGGAGTAGATAGGTCATCATGCAGGGCCTCACGCTGCAGCTGCTCCCCCTCCCCCTCTCTGCCATCCTGTGGCTGGGGCTGCTCTGGGGATCCAGATGATGCCCGCTGCTCTTGCTGCTGTCGGGGAGCCGTTTCCGTCGCCGGCTCTGGGGCGGCCGGTGCTGAATGAGAGGGAGGAGGGCCCTCGTCATGCGGCGCCTGAGCACACCGCGCCGTCATGAGGTTTGCGTGGTTTTCCTTCTGATCCTCCCCTCTCTCACCTCTGTGTCATGCCCTTGCTCGCCCGCGGCATCAGTCTGGGTACCCGCCACAGCCTGCTCGCTGCGCATCTCGACTGCGACGCCATTCTCCTCCCTGTTGCCCTCCTCACCACCTTCCGTGTCTCCGTTGGCCTCTGATGGCGGCGGCGACCGACACGGGGGCGGCGGAGGGGCCGACTGACGAAATCGCGGCTCGCGCACCTCCACATTGATGTGCTCGGCGGCCACTGAGCCGCTCGCGGCACCATCTGATGGTGCTGGCGGAGGGGCTGCATGCTTGAAGAAACCCACATTGGGCTGACGCTGGCAGTGTTCCAAGCAAAACCATGGACATGGAGGTATAGAAGGGAAGCGTGTGGATTGCGCCCTGTGGTGTCGCTGGATCGTGTCACTTTGCTCCACCAACCTGGAATATGGTTTTGCGTTCCTTCTTTCTCTTGTCGGTGGTCCTTGGCTTGTCCTTCCCATCAGAGGCTCCCTGTGTTGCCCCGTCGCCTTGCCCCTCTCCCTCGCCCCTCAGCCCATCACTCGATCCACCACCACCACCACCAGCAGCACCAGCAGCATCAGAGGCGACAGATGCAGCGCTAGATGGAGAGGCGTCAGGCCCTTCTGCCGCACTCACCCCTCCCTCATCTGAGGGCTTCTCATTTTCGGCTCCCGTGCCAGTGCCGGTGAAGACCACCGTCTCCGTGCTGCAACGGAGCGCATCGGACTCCGGAGCAGATCCGCCCTTCTCCCGATCTCGCGTCTTCCTCCTCTCCCGCAATGCCGCCGCCCTCAGCTCCCTCACACTGCTGAACCCTCCGCCCTCACCACTGCTGTCCTTGTTGCCATCGGCTCCATCGTTTTCTGCTGGCGGCGGCGGGGAAGACGCTGATGAGACCACTGGTGAGGCCTTTGAGGCGCAGGCATCCAGCAGTGCAGGTGTGAGGGCGAGGCTGCCCTTCTTGATGTGCGACATATCCAGCGGTGCCGGTGGTGGTGCAGAAGGGGAAGAGGGTGTCGCAGCGTCCGCCGCCTCTGTGGGAGTGATGGGCCGCCCCCACAGGTCCTCTCCCCCGCCTCCCCCCTGTCCTTGTGTGGACGTCACATGCGGCTGCATGGCGAGCATCGGCAGGCCATCCATGCCACCCGTCCCTCCACCGCCCAAGGCGAACTGAGGACTGGCCGTGTGCTGGTAGTACCCAGGTGGCCGCCCGAGTGGGGCAGCTGGATAGGGGTAGCTGATGGGGACGGGTGAAACGTGGCCAGGGTGGTATGGGAGGGGTGTGGGGGCGTAGGGGGGCATTATGAGGGCGGGGGGAGTGGCGGAGGGGTGGTACTGGATCGGCCGGGAGTAGCCGTCTGATGACTCCCGCCGGACAGCTGACACGACACGCACCGCACACGGGGGAAAAAGGTGAGACAGACGAGACACGTCGCAGGCTGCATGCACCGCTCAATCATCGAGTGCTGATCTGACCTGGTATGTCCCGTTCCTTCATCATGGAGTCTACACCATCCCGTCGCGGCCCCTCGCCCGTGAGCGACCGCTGGGCCATCCTGACCGGTGAGGTGTCCAGCTGCCGCGAAGTCCGGCTATGCAGACTCGCCCCGCTGCGGCTGCCATGCATCCCTGACAGACCTACGACGAACGACACAGGTGTTTCTGACGTCGACTCTCTGTGTGTGTGTGTCTGACCTGATTTTGAGTTTGGCGTGATGAACCCGTGCTCAGCCGTGGCCATGTTGGCCGAGTCGAAGAGCCTCCCGCCCACCACTCCACTCCTCACCCCTATGTGCGGCATGATCGCCCCGCTGCCATCGAGGCCGCCGGCGGCATGAAAACGAGACGGCGGATTGACCAGAGGGCGAACCTGCCGGACCTGACATATCAAAGAAGACGGTGTGTGCTCAATCCATCAATCCATCCATCCATCCATCCTTGTGTTCAACAGAGATCGTGTATTTGCGCCGCTTTGCTTACGACAGTGCCTCTGACAGATATGGGTGAGGTGCCTCTGAGGCTGCCGGCTTGCGAGGATGTGGTGGATGGGCCGGGGGTGCCTGGGGTGCCGCGGTTGGCCCGCTTGAATCGCTTGTCATCCTTCAGATCCACATAGCCGCCACTCGACCACTGCAGACCCAACACAAGCAAGATGCGAAGACCGGAGGGATAGGGATCCTGTGTGTGTTCTTCCTCTAAGTTGCTCACCAGCTGCAGGCAGCTCGTGGCAGCCGCTCGAACGTTGGAAACCTGTGCAGTGCACACCACACGTACACTTCTAAATGCCCCCTATGCCGTGTCCAAACCGTCAGGCTGACCTTGTCTCCCTTGAGAGGTTCGACCATCTTCCTGAGCCGCTTCTGCAGGTCGGTGTCCCCGTCAGGCCTCTGCGATCGCTCCACCCACAAGTCTGCCCCATTCGCCCGACGGCCCACTGCCTCGGCTGCGCGGTGGGGGTGGAGAAACAAGGAGGGAAAGATATGCGGCGGGCGATGCGTCAGTGTTGGTTTTGGCTTTGTTGTGTTGTGTTGTGTTGTGTGTACTTCCGATGGCCTGGATGAGTTCGATGGCGGCCCTCCTGGTTCGCCAGTCGACAGCAGTGGTGACGTCGAGGCACACCGGGACCGCCTCCAACACTCCCTCTAACGCAGGGCTGAAACCCTCGCGACCTACAGACTGCACACGGACACACACGCACACACACACACACACACAGAGAGAGAGAGAGATGACCACAACACCGACTTGCCTGTAACGTGGAGCTGTGTGTGATGTGTGTGTACCAGGTATAGGTGTGTGAGGGCCAGGAGGGTCTCAGGCTTGGCCTGCACCAGATGCTCGGGGGTCCCTGTCCACGACAGAAATCACACACACATTCCCTAAGCGAGGGAGGAGTGCACATGGAATGTGTGCGGTGTGGGTGTAGGCACGTATGACGGTGATGAGCCGCTGCACGAGCCGCGGCTGCTGGTCCAACAACATTTCCGCGGGGCAATCTGCACGATAGATAGAACGAGACGATACCACACTTGTGCGCACGTGACGTGATGTGGGCGCGTGAGCATACTTTTGATGACGGCCGTCAGGCAGGTGGCCGCACCAATCTGAACGCACTTCGGCTGCGATGTGCCCTTCGCCTGACAATGGATGGATGACGAACACACCAGCCAAACCAAACACACAGACACATGGACACATCATATGGACCCTCGCCCATCTTCTCCGGGACCATGTATGTGATGTGCCCACCTGTTTGGAGGAGGGCAGCGAGTCTAACAGGGGTCTGGTGAGTGACTGGAACACCCCTCGCACACCCTCGGTCACATACTCCTCCAGCGGGGTGCCGTCGAGGTCCTGCGGGAAGGCCAAACCCATCAGCGTCCTCGTGATGGCTGACACGCACTCTGCACAACAAAACAAAAGACACGGCAACACAGACAGATTGGGTGGATGGATGGATGGATGAGCGTCGCCCCTCACTGTCCAGGGCAGTGTTCATGTGGGTGTCAGCATGCTCCTGTGTGCCATCCTGCGCGACAAATGCGTCCAAGCGTATAGATGGTGATTTCCCTCCCATATGTGCGTGTGCCCTTCGTTTGCTGTGCCGTGTACTGTACCTGTAGTCTGTCGAGGAGTCCCTCGAATATAGACTTGAGTATGGTGGTGTGGTGGTTGTAGCAGAAGACGGGGTGCTGCTGCACTATCATGCTGTAGGCACGGACGCTCTCCCGCTTGATCATCGGCGAGCGCTGAATGCGCAGCTGCTTCGGGTGCAGACACTCCTGTCAACAAACACACACACGCACACACACACACATGGACGCCCACACAGTGTGTCAAGAAGGCTCGTGGATGGATGGCTTACAAAGACGAGCGCGAGGGTCTTGATGAGCAGATGTGGTTCGATGCGTTTGATAAACTCGCTTATGTCGTGATGCCCGACGTGGACGGTGTCGCAGTCGGCCATCCGCCCCAGCATCTTGTCTATATCCTTCCTCATCTCGGCCTCACACTGCTGCTTCGCCAAAGCCAACTCGTGCGAACGAGGCGCATCCATCGCCCGACGGGAACAAGGGATGGAGTGGCCGTGGCCCGTCAACTCAATAACACGCCAAACGCAAAAGGGGCAACTATCCAGCGGATCCCCCGAGCGAATCGTAAATTCTATCTTTTGGTGCGATGCATGCGGTCCCAGTCCCAGTTCAGTCCCATTGGACCCCATTTGATTTGATTGCAAGGCATGCAGTCCTTTCAAGATCCTTCAACAGCTTTGGCTCTCTCTTCGCGCTCATCCAGGTACTCGCCGGCGAGCGTCACAGCCTCCTCAGGCGTATCCACAAGACGAACCAGGCTCTGCAGGCAGGCAGGCAGGGACTGTGCTCAACATGCGAAGCGCATCCCTCCCTCCTCTCTGCTGCCTACCCTTGTCTGTTCAGACATCTCGAGCGCCTCCATGCACACACTGCACGACGGAACACACAAACACAGACAGACACATCAGGAAGACATGATGATGCACCTGGCAAACATGCTCGTGTATTGCGGCCCGCTCACATGACGATCGGCTCGAAGGGCTCACGAAATGCTATCACTAATGGCGGCTCACTGCCCGCAAACAGCACAACATGCAGCAGGCATCCCAACCACACAGACTCCCTCACTCCCTCACTCCCTCATTTGTCGGCGTACGCGTCGATGTGGTGCGCGAGGTCGGCTTGATTCCACACCAGCATCAGCTCCGTGAGCGTGCCGATCTTGCCTGCATGACCACCACACACACACACACCAGCCAGCCGGTTGGTGCATCGGCTCTCTCCCTGCGACCGACAGGGCGACCGACCTGGCAGGACAATGAAGACGCGCGCGTCATTTGTCAGGTGGTCGAGCCGCTCCACCAAACTCTGCGCCACAAAGGCATCCGACAGATAGTCGTTGCCATGCTTCGGTCGCCTGCGAAAGATGCTCGGAACGATGATGCCTGACAGCGAGAATCAACGGCATGCACCACTGCAAACGAACAGTCACTATCCCTCATTCTCTCTGACCTCTCACTTGCGCGTCCGGCACAGCTTCTCGTGCGCCCTTGGCAGTCGCTTCCATAACACCCCCGTAGCCCCCGTTGATGACTCGACAGCCTCGGCGAGCCAGCAGCGCCCCGATCTCCTCAGCAAGAGCGTACTCTCCGCTTCCTGCAGCAGCGGAGGAGCTGCCGAACACAGCCACGTTCCTCTCGAAGCGGCTGCTTGATGCCGGCGGCGATGAGTCGAAGGCCTCTGCATTCGTAGAGATCGGCATGGCGCGCTGCTTCTTCCACAGATCTCCCTCTTTGGCCCCGTTGCTCTTCTTTTAGGGTTCGGGGTTTAGGGTTTCTGCGCGATCACTTGCCGCAGTTGGCAGAGGGCGCACAGCACACTCCGACTCGAAAGATGCGTGTGCGCAGATTCACCGTAGCGGCCGCAGCAGGTCTGTTGGTCACCGATGCATCTGCATCGTCGACATCTTTCCTCCTCCCCCCCTCTCCCATCACCGCCCCTGTGTCCGCCAAGGTGGCGAGAAACCACAACAGGCGACCGCGATGGGCAGATCCCCTGACGGACGACCTGCTGTGGGGCGGCGCCGATGATGAGGTCCCGCTGACGGCACAGAGCGCACTCAAGAAGCCTGTCAGATACTCATCTAAGGTCAGCTGAGAGGGGCAGAGGGCGAGCAGCACACCTGCAGTGAGCAGCAGGGCACAATGGATGCCTCTGTGCTGCGTGTGTGTTGTGTGCAGGACTGGATCTATGCGCTCAAGTCGCTGCCGTCGTCGACCATCTTCACGCGAATCCAGTCGCACCTCCTCTGGAACACGGTACGTTGAGAGAAACGAGAAATCAGCTCCTCTCAACCAAGAGAGGCTGTGAGCCAATGATTCTCTCACTCTGACTGCATTGCGGTCAATGCGGGCAGGTGTGGGCGGCTCTCATTGCGGGCATCTACGAGTACGACCCCAATCTGCCCGACTTCCCCATCCTCCCCCACACCATCATGTCCTCCGCAGTCGCGCTGCTCCTCGTCTTCAGGACAAACGCGTCCTACGACAGGTAGGTACCACATATGGACACATCAACACACCACTCGCGCAGCCATCGATGGGCCGCCATTCTCTGTGGCTGCTGGTGTGTGTGTGTGTGCGCGCGCGCGTGTGTGTGTGTGTAGGTTCTGGGAGGCGCGCAAGCTGTGGGGGACACTGGTCAACAAGTCGCGCGAGCTGGCCTACAACGCCGCCACCTACACTGAACCAAGACACCATGAGAGTGAGAGCGGCTCAACCGTCGCACACACAGCACATGTGTGTCGAATGTGTTGTGTTGTGTTGCGTGTCTGTCTGCTGACAGGGTTCGGGAAGCTGATATCGGCTTTCTGCGCGTCCCTGAAGCAGCACCTGCAGAGCATTGACGACATCTCAGAGCTGGAGCGGTTCTTCACCGAACAGGAGATGGAGACGCTGCGCAAGTGAGCAGCGCAGCCAGCCCTTGATTGACTGAGGCAGGCCATAGCTGCACACGTGCTCACACATCTGTGTGGTGTGGTGTGGTGTTATCAGAGTGGGCAGCCCTCCGCTGTACATTTTGCGGATGATCAACCTGGAGCTGCGTTTGGCGCTCCAGGACCCTATCGAGCTCGTCCAGGAGCGACAAAGGGAGGGACTCCCCACCCAACAAAGTAACCAACCGGCCACACCTCGAATGGACGACCTTACTCTCTCTCTCTCTCTCTGTGTGTGTGTGTGTGTAGCCATGATGTTGATGCAGCCTCTGGGCATGGAGGGCACCACTGCAGGGCGCATCAAGGTCGACTCCCCCGCCGTGGTGACGGACCACAATGCTCTCTGGAAGGAACTCTGGTTCAATCCAGGTACCACACACACGAACACCACTTCCTCTCCTTGACACTTTTCACCGTCAACTTGTTCATGTCCTCGATCGGCCAACCAGGCTACCGTGCGAGCATGGAACAGGTGGTGGGCACCCTGTGCGACGTGCTGGGTGCGTGCGAGCGTATCGCCAAGACGCCCATTCCCAAGTCGTACTCGCGCCACACATCCCGCTTCCTGACCGTCTTCATGGCCACCCTCCCTCTCATACTGGTGACCAAGCTGGGGCTGCTCACGCCGCTCGTCATGTTTGTCGTCGGATGGGCCATGTTCTCCATCGAGGTCGGTCAGATTGGGAGAGCGAGAGGGCGCTGGGTGATGTCGGTCTCTGTGTATGTGAATGTGTGTGTGCAGGAGATTGGTCACTTCATTGAGGAGCCGTTTGACGCCGTCAACAAGCAGCTGACCTTGGCCGACATGTGCGCGACCATCCAGAGGGACGTCGAGGACATACTGCTCAAGTAGCTAGCACACGCACTAGGAGCGACCGAGCAACGCAGCCACTCACTGGTGTCGTGTGTGCAGGCCTCCTTTACAGGAGTTTGAGGGCAGCTACGTGAGCAACCCCAACTTCACGCCATACCAAGGCTCATACCTCGGCCACGGGTGGTACTCAGAGGTGCGCCGCCAATACTCTTCCCCCCCCCCCCCCCCCCCC